TGATTTTATCTGTGTACTTTGTTTAGTTTACAAAAAAGATAGGCTCTTAATATTGCCTTTTTTTATATATCTTTACCAGAAGACATTGTTTATTGCTACTATTATTATTACTATACAAGAGGGATTCCAAGAAAGAAAGAAAAAGAGGGTCGCTGTCTTTTTTTTTATATTATCTGATTATTAATGCTTATCGAATTACTAATGTTTGACTTCAAATCATCGCTGTTGTCGGCTGTATGACTCTTAGGTCATTCTTTTTAGCAATGGCGATATTACTGATAGTATAAGCTTATCCTCGGTAATCAAGTACAAGTTCTTTTCTTTTTTCGAGATGTTAGTATATTAATGTACACAAAGAGAGAAAAAGGAGGAGTAAATAGACTTTGGATCTTTGGGAAATACACAAACAAATAAAGAAGTTTACTCTTTTTCTTTCCTATCTTCTTGTCCTTTGTTTAATGCCTCATCGAAATATCTCGAGAAATAGGCCGAGAAAATGATAATTGATGACCCCACAGTCTATTGCTTCGTCAAGATCCTAGTAAAATACTAAGATGCAGATCCTTTTTTTTTTTCTTTTTTTCTTTTCTGTCTATTCTCGAAGCAGTTGAAGAATGCAGCATAGACTCACAGAGGGTAAATTGATAATGTGATGAAAGCCCCAAAACAAAGCATAGCCTCCTATTCTTTTATTATTACTAATGCATAATTCAATTTAACCATAAACACTGCTTGTACCAGCTGCATATATATTTTCAAGCAACCCCCGAGAAAAGGTGATGATTAAAAAAGAAGCGTATTTTATGACTATTGCCTTTATAATTTCGGTTAATTTACGGGCAAATGGTTATTTTACCTTGTTTATAATGGATGATCACTTTTTTGAACGAGTTGAATGCTTCATAAGCTCGCATTTTCGAAATGAACAAAAAAAGACCTGAAAGAACTTGTTTGGTTAGTATGCATAACACTCTGCATACAGAAAAATAATGCCTTTTAAGGTAAAGATGACATGTAGTATACACTGGAGTTGATCCTGCATACAAAGAGAAGGGGGTGAGAGTTTCGTCTACCATGACTAAAACAGGCTCAACAAGAGAACACACTCACCTTCATGCCTTTTTAGTAAAGGCACGGACCTATTTTTCCTAATTTATAGAAGTTTGCATAAACGCACGACACTCGTATTCCCTCAGTTGGATAAGCTGGGATTAGGTGGAATGGTTGTTTGCCTTATGAAGGTGTCTACTAGGATACAGTGCTCACGATGCCGACTTAGGTTTTTATCACTTTCTCAACCAAAATGCTTTTGGTAATTCTGATGTTTGGTATTGGTGCAAAAACAAAAATATTTACTTGTGAACAGCCTGAAAGACGTAACTCAGAAACTTCTGCCAGCTGAACACAAGTTGACTAACTAAATCCACGCAAATTGGAAATGCAAAGATATTTGAAAATGCGCAAATTAGTACAGTGAGCACTGTTTCTTACACTTTCTTCGGAAAGATAGACACATATGGATTCAGCCTTTGACGTCCTTCTTTCGGTAGCCCCATGACTAATCCCATGTCCTGGAAAATAGTTATGACATGTATCAAAAGTAAACATTGATTGGCAGAAAGATCAAAAGTTTACAGATATAAAAAATCGTCCAATTGAATTTCTAATCCTGAAAAATTTTGGAGCCGTCCGATTTAAGGTTAAGCTGTATATTCATAAAAAAGATTGCATATAGGAAATAATTAAAAGCCTCTCCTTTTTCTTTAAATTAAGCATATATACAATAAAACTGAAAATGGGCCTACCTATATGGAAACCAAGAAGACGATCGATCGACGAAATACAAGAGGACATTCATAAACAACAAATACAAATGGCTCGTTCATTATTGAGACAAAGAGTAAATACTGAGGGAATGCCGGTCATCACACGTCATAGCTATGAATCAGCTCTCCACACTCCTTCTCATGTTCGAAGACATCGTATATCAAGAAGACAGAATCTACTTACATCTTCTTTTGGGGATAGACGACCCAACAGTAATTCATCCGTAGAGCAGAGTGAACTCGATCGTCGAATTGACCAGTGCATTTCGGAAAAGGAAGATTTGCTAGAACAATTACAAGTGACAGTATCACTCCTAGATCAATTTCTTTCGGCAAGAACAAGGCTGGGGCAAGAGGCAGTGAATATACCAGAGTTTATCACTCAAGGTATGTGTATGTAAAAATGAGAACTGATAAAGGGAAAGGATAATTGATACTATGTACTTAGACTTACCTGATATACTTGAATCAGCAACATCATTAGCTGCCATGTCACCTTCAGAATTGGTATTTTCATCACCTACGATAAACACAAGCAGTAATGTCCAATCGGTTGTTGAAGCACTCTTACAGATACCACCTTATTCTACTCGAGTTCAGGATGTGGAGGCTAATATTCTTTCAGCGCACAGACGTATTCGACAACAGCTCAATTCACTAGCTAGTCTAAGGCGTATACGGTCACCTTCACCTTCATCTCGTTCACCACCCCGTTCCTCTCCTTTTTCTCGTTCATCGTCATCTTCATCAACATCTCGTGTAAGAAGCCGTCGTCCCCGTGTAATCTTTATTGACACTGATGCTTCCCCTTAATATGTATATGATTCTTTATATGCCCTTTACCTTCTTTTGTTTCCTCTCTTATGCTTTTATGTCTCTCTTTACCTTCCTTTTGTGATTGTTGTACAATCTTTCTATGGTAAATCAGTGGGTATATTAATAAAAGCTTTTCATAATGGTTCTGTTAGTCCGATAACATAGATCAAAGGACTAAACTTATCATACGAGTAACAGAAGATTTGTGTTGTCTAATCCACCCTTCGAAGTAAGAAGGTAGTATTTTTCTATTACATCGCACATGGCTGTCATTTATAGATCACTGTAAGATAATGCACTGAAGAGACACTTGCTGATTCATCTTCACTGCTATGCATTAATTGAATCTTTTTGATTGGTTGTAAATTATAAACAGACATTGCTATCACTGAATCAAAGGTTGATTGTATAGCTTCACGTAAAATTATTTTTAATTAAGAAAAGAAGGGTTTGAAAAGTAGGGACCTGATAAAGCTGTGTTAGGTTTATCTTCTTCTGCGGTTAGTCTAAGAATAGACAGATCTGCAGCGTATGGCAGAGAAGAGGGAGAAAAAAAGAGACAGAGGAAGTATTGAATGTCCTTTGGGCCTATGCATCATTGTGTTCTTTAAGATACTCATTGCTTTCAGTAGCATGGGCTTTTTTGTAGTCTCTGGGTTCAAAAATATCAAGGTACCTTTCATTGTTTCTAATAAAGAATTCATAACGTATCGTATCTTTTCTACTGACAACTTCAAGTTAAGCAGTACACAAAAAACTTATCTTGACCATTATTTCTCTAATTGTTTGAGGAAGGAGGAGGGTGATCATTAAGAATAATTTAATCAAGTCAACTGCAATAGAGAATGATGGCTTGATGTACAATGTCCTTCTCCCATGACTGAAAATAAACTTTTATCACATTGTGTCTTTCTGCAACAATGATCAACCACTATGGATTCTATTGACAACATCTAAATAGGATATATAAGGCCTGTTTTTATTCAACTTTCTTTTGTATTAAGCATAAATATATCATGGCTGAACAACAAGAAGAACGTCTAGGTGTCGAATATCTTCCTCCTGGAGTTATGCCTACTTGGAAAGAAATGTGCTGCTGCTGCTGTGTCATCTCTTAAACCGACTCTTGGCTCTGGTACAGAAGAATAAATATAATTACAACTTTCTACAAATCCTTTTACTTTCAAATCAATCTGTACCCTGTTTTTGTAACGCTTTTTTTCTTCTTTTGTCATATTGACACTTTATAATATGAATGTGTTATGGTATTAGCTTATTGTATCTATAAATAAAGAGATAAAGAAAGTAATAGTCATCACTTAATATCTTCATAATCTTCTACACTCATTGGTAATGACAAGGATTGGAAAGTGTACTAATTTACAGCCCTTTAATTCTTTATTATATGCGTTTAAATGTTTCAATGGATGCGTTATGCCTATTCGGTCTCAATGTCTTCAGTTTCCCAACCATCAACATGGTTGTTATGAGTATCTTCTTCCTGCCATTCAGCATAGTTGTCGTGAGCAGGTTCGACATGCAAGTCCTCGGATTCCCAACCATTGGTGTGGATTTCATCAGATGCATCTTGCCACTCGGCGTCATTGTCATGGTTGATTTCGAGTTCCGCTTCTTCGGTTTCCCAACCATCTACATGGTTATTGTGAGTGTCTTCTTGTGATTGCCATTCAGCATAGTCATCATGGGAAGGCTCAACGTGAAGGTCTTCGGATTCCCAACCATTGTTATGATTGCCTTCAGA